AGGGGATTCTGTGATTCACCTCCTGGGTGGAGACAAGGGCGGGGGTCTCCGGACATTCCAAGGGCTAGGGGATTCTGTGATTCACCTCAGTGGTTTACAGAAGTCAAGATATACATTTGTTTACACATCACAGATTTTAGCAGTTACTGATAAGAAAAGGTAAGCAGCTTTACATAGTTTTGAAGAACAAACCAGCAGTTCTATTTACAGAGGCCAAGGACAGTAGTTATTGTAAGGAGAATGGGGCAGCCATTTCAACTTATCTAAAAACAGTTTTGCATTTTATAAAATAGTTTTGCTCCGGTTCTGGCTCTAGGCCAGCACAATATCACACCTGTATCTACTAAAAATACAAAAATAAGCTGGGCGTGGTGGTACACACCTGTAATTCCACCGTCCTAAGTAGGGTGAGGCAGGAGAATTGCTTGAACCTGGGAAGCAGAGGTTGCAATAAGCCAAGATCATACCACTGCACTCCAGCCTGGGTGACAGTGAGATTTAAAAAAAAAGGAAATGGCAAAGGCATGGGGAAAAATTAAACATATTTAAAGATTTAAAGAAAATGCTGCAAATATTTCCACGCGCATGTCAATTCATGTATTAGTTTCCTAGCACTGCTCCAATAACCACAGCCAAGTGGCATCGGTGGTATAGTAGTGAGCATAGTTGCCTTCCAAATAATTGTAACTGTGGTGGGTTTTTTTTTTTGTTTTTGAGACAGAGTTTCGCTCTTTTAATCCAGGCTGGAGTGCAGTGCTGCGATCTTGGCACCTCCTGGTTCAAGTGATGCTCCAGCCTCAGCCTCCCGAGTAGCTGGGATCACAGGCGCTCGCCACTACACTCAGCTAATTTTTGTATTTTTAGTAAAGATAAGGTTTTGCCATGTGGACCAGGCTGGTCTGCGAACTACTGACTTCAGGGGATTCATCCACCTCAGCCTGCCAAAAGCAATGGGATTACAGGCGTGAGCCACCACGCCCAGCCCTACTTTGGGGGTTTAAAAGAACAGATATTTACTCTCTCACAGTTCTGGAGGCCGGAATTCTGCAATCAAGGTGTCCGCAGGGATATGCCTTAGAGGAGGAGCCTTCCCTGCCTCTCCCAGCTTCCGGTGGCTCCAGGTGTCCCTGGGCTTGTGGCTGCATCATTCTAATCTCCGTTTCCGTCTCCATCTTTACTCGGGCTTCTGCCTGGTGTGGCTCTCCTCCACGTGTCTCTTATAAAGATACTTGCCACTGGGTTTAGGGCCCACCTGTATAATCCAGGGTGATCTCTTGTCAAGATCCTTAACTTAATTAGATCTAGAAAGGCACCTTTGGCAGGCATGGTGGCTCACACCTGTAATCCCAGCACTTTGGAGGCCAAGGAATCACTTGAACCTAGGAGTTTGAGACCAGCTTAGCTAACATGGTGAGACTCCAACTCTATTTTATTCTTTCATTATTATTATTTTTTGAGACGGAGTCTCGCTCTGTTGCCCAAGCTGGAGTAGAGTGGCACAATCTCGGCTCACTGCAACCTTCACGTCCCAGGTTCAAGTGATTCTTCTGCCTCAGACTCCCAAGCAGCTAGGACTAGAAGTGTGCACTGCCACACCCAGCTAATTTTTGTATTTTCAGTACAGAAGGGTTTCACCATGTTGGCCAGGATGGTCTCTGTGACATGGTAATTGCCCCATAAACTGCATACCTCGACCACACCTCAGCTTTCCGTTGAAACTGCTCTCTGTGGCCGGGCGCGGTGGTCAAGCCTGTAATCCCAGCACTGTGGGAGGCCGAGGCGGGTGGATCACGAGGTCAAGAGATCGAGACCATCCTGGTCAACATGGTGAAACCCCGTCTCTACTAAAAATACAAAAAATTAGCTGGGCATGGTGGCGCGTGCCTGTAATCCCAGCGACTCAGGAGGCTGGGGCAGGAGAATTGCCTGAACCCGGGAGGCGGAGGTTGCAGTGAGCCGAGATTGCGCCATTGCACTCCAGCCTGGGTAACAAGAGCGAAACTCTGTCTCAAAAAAAAAAAAAAAAAAAAAAGAAACTGCTCTCTGTAACCCTAAAGTGACAGGCCAGCAGTCCAAACCAATGCCATTTTGGCCCCTGCACCATTTTAAGAAAAACTAAGACTTGTAATAAGTAACTAAGGTCTGTAATTTCCACCCTACCCAGACAATGTGTAAACTAATGCTTATCGTGACCTCTGTGAACCACTTAAGTAACAATCAGAATGTCCAAAGCCCCTCGTCCTCACCCCCGCCCAGGCGGTGGTTTACGGGCATAAAAGGTCTTGACACCCTCCTTTCGGGGAGACTCGAGTCCTCCGTGGCCACTGGCAGTAAAGACCCTGCAATTTGGCCTAGTCTTTGTCTCACTGGTGATTTCGCTCTCGCTGGGTTACAACAGTCTCCATCTCCTGACTTCATGATCCGCCCGCCTCAGCCTCCCAAAGAGCTGGGATTACAGGTGTGAAGCACCTCGCCGGGCCTGGAATTCTATAAATTCTCTCTCTGGGTCAAGCCTGAACTAGAACACTGCCCAACTTCCTTTGCACAGCAAAATGGATTTCATAGGATCAATTAAGAGTGTTCAAACAAGTATCCCTCTTATTCTGTTAGCCTGGGTTGCAGGAGTCACAGTTACTTACCAGCCAAAAAGATGGGGAGAGGGTTGTGGCGGTTGTGGTCTCAGGCCTGCAGCAGACTTTTGCAATATCCTGGGGCTTTGTGAACTTGGAATCACAGCCTTCTGCGGAGGTTGTGCCTCATCCTCCCCAAAACGTGAAAGGTGAGGGCAGAGCCTACCTACCTGTCACCTCCTCACACTTGATCCATAGCACCTGGTTCACAGTAAGCACTCGATGGCTGTGTGCTAAGTAAACAAGTAAGGCCTGTTCCTGCCTCGGGGCAGGACTCACCGGCCTAGTGAAGGTAATACGGTAACACTCTAGTGAAGGTAATACGGTAATACTCTCGTCCACCAGATTGGCAGCTCCCCTCCCTTACACAGCCCTGGGAAATTACTGCTATTTCTTTCTTTGCTGTCCTTTCTCTAAAGTGCAAATAGACAATATTTCTGGACACACAGTCTATCTGCAGCCTGCCAGTATCATTTATTAGACCCTCGCTTGCTTTTACCTTCTGTTTGTCTTCCCGAGACAACATTCTTGTAATGATCATTCCAGCAAAATCAAACTTTTTTTCTTTATTATTACTTTTTTCTCTCAGGATTTGTGTGTGTGTGTTTTGTTTTTGTTTTTTGAGACAGAATTTCACTCTTGCTGTCTAGGCTGGAGTGCAATGCTGCCATCTCGGCTCACCACAACCTCTGCCTCTAGGGTTCAAGAGATTCTCCTGCCTCAGCCTCCTGAGTAGCTGGGATTACAGGCATACGCCACCACGCCCAGCTAATTTTGTAGTTTTGGTAGAGACGGGGTTCCTCCATGTTGGTCAGGCTGGTCTTGAACTCCCAACCTCAGGTGATCCGCCTGCCTTGGCCTCCCAAAGTGCTGGGATTACAGGTGTGAGCCACCACGCCTGGCCTCTTATTACTTTTTTTAACCCAGTCTTATACATTGACCCTTTACTTTTTCTCCCTTTTTTTTTTTTTCTTTGAGACAGGGTCTTTTTGTCACCCAGACTGGGGTGCAGTGGCATGATCTCCACTCACTGTAACCTCAATTTCCTGGGCATGAGTGATCCTCCCACCTCAGCGTCTGGAGTAGCCAGGACTATAGGCGCTGAGTACCACGTCCGGCTAATTTTTGTATTTTTTTGTAGAGATGGGGTTTCACCATGTTGGCCAGGATGTTCTTGAACTCCTGACCTCAGGTGATTCATCCACCTCAGCCTCCCAAAGTGCTGGGATTACAGGTGTGAGCCACCGTGTCTGGCCTCTTTATCTATTTTCCTAATCTTGAGGACCTGTGAAACAAAGTCCTACTCTGATTTAGAAGATACCAGGCCCTACCAGGCACTGTGTCTCACACCTGTAATACCAGCTCTTTGGGAGGCCAAGGTGGGTGGATCACTCGAGATCAGGAGTTTGAGACCAGCCTGGCCAACATGGGGAAACCCCATCACTACTAAAAATACAAAAATTAGCCAGGCAAGGTGGCATGTACCTGTAATCCCAGCTACATAGGAGGCTGAGGCAGGAGAATCGCTTGAACCCAGGAGTCAGAGGTTGCAGTGAGCCGAGATTGCACCACTGTACTCCAGCCTGGGTGACAGAGTGAGACCCAGTCTTGAAAATAAAAATTAGGCTGGCGCTAAAATTAGGTGGCTCATGCCTGTAGTCCCAGCACTTTGGGAGGCCAAGGTGGGCAGATTACAAGGTCAAGAGATCGAGACCATCCTGGCCAACAGGGTGAAACCTCATCTCTACTAAAAATACAAAAATTAGCTGGGCGTGATGGCGTGCACCTGTAGTCCCAGCTACTCAGGAGGCTGAGGCAGGAGAATTGCTTGAACCCGGGAGGGAGAAGTTGCAGTGAGCCAAGATCGCACCACTGCACTCCAGCCTGGTGCCTGGCAACAGAGCAAGACTCTGTCTCAAAAAAAAAAAAAAAAAAAAGAAAAGAAAAGAAAGAAAGAAAAGAAAAGAAAAATTTAAAAATCTAAAAAATAAAAAATAAAAAATAAAAAAAATCTTGTGAGTTTTACATCTAATGCTATAGAACAGCAAAAGACACACTTGGGGCAGTGGGGGAAGGGGGACCAGCTTTCAGTTATTTCAGCAATGTCCCTAGGTATTTTGAACCACAGTGAAGAAGAAAGAAATCAACAAAGTCAGTGCTACCCCTGCCACACCACTGGCCACACAAGGTTACAGTTTCTATAGCTACAAGCCTGTCTCTTAGGGAACACAACACACCACAGAGCAGCCTCCCGAAAAAGGACACTTAGTCATATGAGATGGAGATCTATGCTGAAATAGAGATGTTTTCTCTTGGAACTTACAATTAATAAAGTGACAGCAGTGCGAATGTGACAGAACAGGATACAATAAGAGAATAAGTCGGCTTCCCTTGGATGGAAATAAACAGGCTGGACTGTGATGAGAGCCAATAGAAAACACGAAGCCTGATCCTGCAATTATCTGTTCATTGTGATACAACGTCAGCTATTGGACATGGTGTGCTTCCAGCATGAGTGTGGAGATGCGCTGGAGGACTGCAAAACAAAACCCCTTACAGATCGGGACTCAGAGCAACAGATTTTTTTTTTTTTTTTTTTTGAGACGGAATTTTGCGAGTGGTGCTATCTCGGCTCACTGCAAACTCTGCCTCCTGGGTTCATATGATTCTCCTGCCTCAGCTTCCCGAGTAGCTGGGATTACAGGTGCCCACCACCATTCCCAGCTAATTTATGTATTTTTTTTTTTCATCATGGTGGCCAGGCTGGTCTTGAACTCCTGACCTCAGATGATCCGCCCATCTCAGCCTCCCGAAGCCTCCTTACAGATGTGGGCCACCGCCCCGGCCAAAGCAACAGATTTTTGTTACATGATCGAATGATAAGAATGCCGCCGCCATACTGAAGAAGGGAATTAAATAATAACAATAATAATAAAAACAAAACCCTATACTTTTTAATTGCTATATAATAAAGTAAATTTTGCTGTGTTGTGTGCTGTTTAATATAAAACCTAGCCCCAGCTCTGCTTAAAATGAACTAACTCGCTGTAAAACCTACCTTATCTATTGTCCCCACATTCTCAGCAAAGTTCCCAGGCATCTCAAGACTCATGTTTTTCTCGCTGACCAGCTGCAAGGTCACGGGGCAAGATAACACACAAAGAATGTATAATGCGTTCCTCAAAATGTTATTTTTCAAATGTAATGTACATCACAAGATGTGTTACAAATTAACTGTTCTTTGCTCTGGCTTCTGTAAACCTGTTAGCTGCTACTTCATCCCTGATGTATAAAAAGTACCCCTTTTCCTTCTCGGGGCTCGGCCTTGGGTTGCTAATCCGCTGAACTGGTGGCCACCTTAATAAAATCCTCCTCTTTCACCCATTGGTCTCTTCGGTCTCCTGGATATTCTGTAACCAGAATATTCTGATACCATAATAGCATCTCATTTCTCCTGCACTTTCTTGCATATTATTGAATTTATGTTTTAAATGTTTTTAAAAAATTAATTGAATCCTCTAACATCCTTCTGAGGTTGTTATGTGAAACGCCCACTGTATAGGAGAGAAAACTAGGCTGGATGTGTTAGCTCCTGCCTGTAATCGCAGCATTTTGGGAGGCTGAGTCAGGAGGCTCACTTGAGCCCAGGAGTTCAAGACCAGCTTGGGCAACAAAGTGAGACCCTGTCTCTACAAAAAATAAAAAAGTTAGCCCGGTGTACCTGCAGTACGAGCTAGTCAGGAGGCAGAGGTGGGAGGATCACTTGAGCCCAAGAGTTCAAGGTGCAGTGAGCTGTGATTGCACCACTGCACTCCAGCCCACGTGACAGAGCAGGACCCTGTCTCAAAAAAACAAATAAAAACAGCAACAAAGGGCCAGGCGCAGTGGCTCATGCCTGTAATCCCTGCACTTTGGGAGGCCAAGGCAGGTAGATCACCTGAGGTCAGGAGTTCGAGACCAGCCTGGCCAACACGATGAAACCCCGTCTCTACTAAAAATACAAAAAACTAGCCGGGTGTGGTGGCACACGCCTGTAGTCCCAGCTACTTGGGAGGCTGAGGCAGGAGAATCGCTTGAACCCAGGAGGCGGAGGTTGCAGTGAGCCAAGAGGGTGCCGCTGCACTCTAGAGCAAAACTCTGTCTAAAAAAAAAAAAAAAAAAAAAAAGCAACAATAACAACAAAAAAGAAGAGAAAACCAAGCCTTCAAATATGTAACACAATTGCCAAAAGCCACCAGACATTCAAGTAAAGAATGAAGGAAACAACTAAACAGGCCTTGACCCCATGTCTCCTGAGCCTACACCCAGGGAGCTTGTACTTGACCCAGTGATGATTTAAAAGTAAGTCACATTCCTCTCTGAACTCTCAGAAAAGCAACTTGGATGAAATTATTTTCTAGTAAGCACAGATCTTGGGTGTAATCACAGAGCTCATACAGAGGACCATGTGAGGGGCTTTTACAAACCTCTGGGCCCTAAGAAAACTCTCTGGACCATTTATCAAGAGGAATCAGGCTTTTGGCATTTTTGAGGAAAAAGTAATAAATGACATGCTGAGTTTATGAGAGGATTTTTTTCCCTGAATTTATTCTCTTTTCCTTTAGAATTAAATTAAACTCTAATATTCATACAGAAGCAACACATTTGTTCCCAAGTTAAAGAAAGAACCCTATCTAAAGGCATAAAAAAAACTGTTCAATTATAGCAGAGGCATACAAAATAAAAATTTTATAGTTTCTCTGACCTCACTGGAGGACCTCTGCCATAGCTAAGAAAAATAGCCCACATTTCCAGAGTACTTAGCTAGGGCTGGGCACTGGTCTATACACAAATTTTAAGTCTCTCTCTCTCTCTCTCTTTTTTTTTTTGAGACCGAGCCTCGCTCTGTCATCCAGGCTGGAGTGCAATGGTGTGATCTCGGCTCACTGCAACCTCCACCTCCCAGGTCCCAGCAATTCTCCTGCCTCAGCCTCCCGAGTAAGTGGGATTATAGGCGCCCACCATGTCCAGCTACTTTTTTGTATTTTTAGTAGAGACAGGGTTTCACTATGTTGGCCAGGCTGGTCTTGAACCCCTGACCTCAGGTAGATCCACCCACCTCAGCCTCCCAAAGTGTTGGGATTACAGGTGTGAGCCACTGCACCTGGCCTGAATTTTAACTCAATCAGTCTTTCAAAAACGCTAGAAGGCAGGAACCATTACCATCTTGACTTTACAGATGGGAAAACTAAGGGGACACAGCTTGCCTGAGGTCACACTGTTAGTGAGCACTGCAGCTGAAACCGGGGCCTGGGCAGCCTTGGGGCCAGTCCCTGCCCCGAACCTCTAGACCAAGTCTGAGATGACTTTGCTTCTTCTTCCTGAGGCGAAACAGTTGGACAGAAGAATTCTGGGATTTCTCCCTAACCTCCATCCTCCACCCCACTCAAGCCCCGAATTTGTGAGATGTAGAGATCCCGGGCATTCACTGGGCTACATCAACAATGGGGAACGCTCAACATCCCTAGTCACTAGGGAAATGCAAATCAAACCCGCAATGAGATACACCTCACACCAATCAGAAAGGCCTTCATTTATTTATTTATTTGACAGAGTCTCGATCTGTCACCCAGCCTGGAGTGCAGTGGTGAGATCTCGGCTCACTGCAACCTCTACCTCCCGGGTTTGAGCAATTCTCCTACCTCAGCCTCCGAAGTAGCTGGGATTACAGATGCCCACCACCATGCCTGGTTAATTTTTGTATTTTTAGTAGAGATGGGGTTTCAGCATATTGGCCAGGCTGGTCTCAAACTCCTGACCTCAAGTGATCCGTCCGCCTCAGCCTCCCAAAGAGCTGGGATTACAGGCATGAGCCACTGTAGCTGGCCAGAATGGCCACTATTAAAAAGTCAAATAATAATAGATGCCGGCAAGGTTGCAGAGAAAACAGAATGCTTATACACTGTTGGTGGGAATGCAAATTAGTTCAGCTACTGTGGAAGCACTCTGGAGATTTTGCAAAGAACTTAAAATACAACTACCATTCAACCCAAGAATCCCTACTGGTTATAAATCCAAAGGAATATAAATCCTTCTACCATAAATACGCATGAACGCATATGTTCATGGCAGCACTATTTACAATAGCAAAGAGATGGAAATAACCTAGATTTCCATCAGGATGAACTGGATAAAGAAAACATGATACGAGCTGGCTGTGTTGGCTCATTCCTGTAGTCCCAGCTTTTTGGGAGGCCAAGGCGGGTGGATCACTTGAGGTCAGGAGTTCAAGACCAGTCTGGCCAATATGGCAAAACACCATCTCTACTAAAAATATAAAAATTAACCAGGTGTAGTGGTGCACCCCTGTAATTCCAGCCACTTGGGAGGCTGGGGCAGGAGAATCACTTGAACCTGGGAGGCAGAGATTGCAGTGAGCCAAGATTATGCCACTGCACTCCAGCCTGGGCAACAGAGCAAGACTCTGTCTCAAGACAAAAAAAAAAGAAAAAAGAAAACATATACATACACACTATGGAATACTACACAGCCATAAAAAAGGATAATGTCCTTTGTAGCAATATGGCTGGAGCTGGAGGCCATTATCCTAAGTGAATTAACTCAGGAACAGAAAACCAAACACCACATGTTCTGACTTATAAGTGGGAGCTAAACATTAAGCACACAAGGACACAAAGAAAGGAATAGCATCTCACTCATAAGTGGGAGTCGAACAATGAGAACACATGGACACAGGGAGGGGAACATCACACACCCGGGCCAGTTGGTGGGTGGGGGGCTAGGGGAGAGATAGCATTAGGAGAAATACCTAATGTAGATGATGGGTGGATGGGTACAGCAGACCACCATGGCATGTGTATACCTATGTAACAGAACGACACACTGTGCACATGTACACCAGAACTTAAAGTACATGGACAGCGAGCCCTTGGGCCGTGTCTCCTTTGAGCCGTTTGCAAACAAGATTCCAAAGATAGCAGAAAACTTTCGTGCTCTGAGCACCGGACAGAAAGGTTTTGGTTGTAAGGGTTCCTGCTTTCACAGAAGTATTCCAGGGTTTACGTGTCAGGGCAGTGACTTCACATGCCATAATGGCACTGATGGCAAGTCCATCTACGAGGAGAAATTTGATGATGAGGACGTCATCCTAAAGCATACAGGTCCCGGCATCTTGTCCCTGGCAAATGCTGGACCCAACACAAACGGTTCCCAGTTTTTCATCTGCACTGCCAAGACTGAGTGGATGGCAAGCATGTGGTCTTTGGCACGGTGAAAGGAGGCATGAATATAGCGGAGGCCATGGAGCACTTTGGGTCCAGAAATGGCGAGACCAGCAAGACCAGCACTGCTGACTGTGGACAGTGCTAACAGGTTTGACTTGTGTTTATCTTAGCCACCAGACCGCTCCTTCTGTAGCTCAGGAGAGCACCCCTCTACCCCATTTGCTCGCAGTATCCTAGAATCTTTGTGCTCTCGCTGCAGTTCCCTTTGGGTTCCATGTTTTCCTTGTTCCCTTCCATGCCTAGCTGGATTGCAGAGTTAAGTTTATGATTATGAAATAAAGACTAAATTGCCAAAAAAAAAAAAAAAGGAACACTAGACCTATGTGTGGGTGGAGGGTGGGAGGAGAGTGAGCATTGAAAACTACCTTCCGGGTATTATGGTGATTACCTGGGTGACAAAATTATCTGTATACCAAACCTCCATGACATACAATTTACCCATGTCACAAACCTGCATATGAGGCCGGGTGCAGTGGCTCCCACCAGCACTTTGGGAGGCCGAGGTGGAAAGGTCACTTGAGGCTATGAGTTCCAGACCAGCCTGGCCAAAATGGCAAAAACCCATCTCTGCTGAAAACCAAAAATACAAAAGTTAGCCAGGTGCAGTGGCACACGCCTGTAGTCTTAGTTACTCAGGAGGCTGAAGCAGGAGAATTGCTTGAGCCTGGGAAGCAGAATTCGCAGTGGCCGAGATCATACCATTGCATTCCAGTCAGCCTGGGCAACAGAGTAGGACTCTGTCTCTAAATAAATAAATAAACAAAAATTGGAAGGAAAAAGATTATGTTTATAAAACCACTTCATAACATGGGGAGCTGGATATGGTCTGACATAGTATAACAAAAAACAGGATGCAAACGTGCTTATCACACTGACTTAAATGATAAGATATCACAATTGCAGGGGTTTTTTTTTGTTTTGAGATGGAGTCTCACTCTGTCACCCAGGCTGGAGTGCAGTGGTGCTATCTCAGCTCACTGTAACCTCTGCCTCCAGGGCTCAAGCAATCCTTCTGCCTTAGCCTCCTGAGTAGCTGGCATTACCGGTGCACACCACTATGCCTGGCTAATTTTTGTATTTTTAGTAAAGATGGTGTTTCAGCACGTTGGCCAGGCTGGTCTCAAACTCCTGACCTCAAGTGATCCACCCACCTAAGTTTCCCAAAGTGTTGGGTCTACAGGCATGAGCCACTGCTCCTGGCCCAAGCAGCTGTTCAGCAGAGTCTCCCATGGGCAACAGCCTGTCCTCTAATTCAGTAGCATCACATCTCACAGGTTGAGTGCTCAGTTCCACAAGACTGCCTCTCACTTCAGAGGCCAATTGCAATCCCCAGGTTGTAATCTGATCTTCTCACTGGCTGGCTATAAATCAGGGCTCTCATCATCCCTTCTTTGAGTTTGATTGATTTTCTAGAGTGGCTCACAGAGCTCAGGGAAACACTTTATGTGCACACAGTTATTTCATAAAATTTATTTTATATCACTATGTTAATATACTTTATAAAGGATATTAAAAAGGATACAGATGAACAGCCTAATGGAAGAGATACATAGGGCAAGGCATGAGGAACGGGGGTGAGCTTCCAGGCCGTCTCTGGGCACACCACCTTCTAGGCACCTCCACATGTTCAGCAATCCAGAAGCTCTCTGAATCTAAGCATTTTAGGTTTTTATAGTCTTCATTATGTAGGCATGCTTGTGTGAAAATAAGTAATTCAAAATCTAAGTGGTTGTGATAGCAGCAAGAGACAGACAAATTCCTAGGCAAACAGGGATAGGTCCCTGGTGAAACCTGATCTTCAAGCCAAAGACATCTTGAAGCCTGAAAAACTGGCTGCCTGTCCCAGATAGAGTCCACAAGGGAAGTGAGAACTTCCTCAATGCCTTTTTAGCCAGTCGAATGGTGATTTTTCCAGGCCTATCCATGGACCAATCAGCATGCATTCCCCCATTCTGAGCCCATAAAAACCCTGGACTCAGCCGCATGTTGGGACTACCCACCATCAGGTCCCCTCTTACACAGAGGGCTATGCACTTGAGGTTCCCTCTCATGTTGAGAGGTTCTGTTGCACAGTAAAAGCTTCTCTGCCCTGCTCACTCTCCCGTGTCCAGGTAACCTCATTCTTCTCGAACATGGAACAAGAACCTGGGACCCACTGAACCGGTGCAAAAGGAGCCATAACACTGCAGCCCTCTCACCCTCTGCCAGTGTCAGGCGGCCGATCCACATGACAGGAAGAAGCAGCGGCGGGGCTGGGCCAGCCCAGGAGCCTCAGGCCACAGTGGGGTGGCAGGATCAACACCCCTGTTCACTGAAGCATGTGGATGGCAGGACACTAATGAGCTGAAACATGAATGAGCTGTAACACACTACCCACCCAAGTTTTCAAGTGCTGCTGTGTCCCCCTTGTCTAGATGCTGGCACCCAAGGTGGAAGACGGTCATGGCATTCCTGGACCAGCTGCAGGCTGAGCGCAGAGCCATGATGGGCACAGAATCTGGGCTTGTAGCATGAACTGAGCACAGCCTGCTGGACTGAGTGGGGAGAGTGAGCCCAGTGGTAAGCCTGGAGCCAAGCAAGGCCCAGGTAGAGATGCCACCAGCCATGAAGATTTCTGGCTGGTGAAGCGGCACTGAAACAATCCTGTGTCAGTTGGAACTTTAAAATATTTTAAGTCTTAAGGGAATGTGATTATGGGACCTGAGTGCCATAAGCAGGCAGCTGTAATCTAGGCATTTGTAACTTATGTTTCTCTGATTATAGATTGGCCTTCTTCCTGACCAAATATGTTGTAAATGACTGAAGAGCATCGGGGACCCCTTCTCTCTCCACTTGATTTTCATTATAGATTAACCTCCCTCTTTTCTTTTCCACACAAAGATTTCACGACTAACACAGTATCTAACACGGATTGTCAAATACGCACCTTTACATTGGAAAGGTTGAATGAAAACAAGTTGCAAAGAAAAGAAAACCTGTATGGAAAAGAAAATAAACTGCAACTAATTAAATTGTGGTTACTCATAAACCAGTCTGGTATAGAAAACGTTATAATCCTACTAAACTTCATTTTCAGCCAATACAAGCAAGACTTTAACTTTTAATTTTGGAGCACTGACCCCATTTCCCTGGAGTCTATGTTACCCAGATGGCTGTTCCCAGCTTTTTGCTTGAATATACTCTAAGACTGGATGCTGATGACTTGATTATTTTAGGTTGACAATCGATTATACCACGGGCCACTGATGATCAACTCCACTTTCTCTCTCCTCCCTGGAAGCCGGGGGTGGGATGTGAACTGAAAATCCCAACCTTCTAATCCTACCTTTGGCTTTCTGGTGACCAATCCTCATCTTGAAGCTATCCAGGGACTGCCAGCCCCACCCAGTCATCTCATTAGCATACAAAAGATACTCTTATCACTCCTCTGATTGCAAGGGTTTTAGGAGCTGTGTGCCAGGAACCAGGAACAAAGACCAAATACATACATCTTATTTTAAATCATCGTATCAAAGAGGTAAATAATACTCAAATATTCTTTAGCCTATCTAATTTTCAAAAAGAGATGTTAAGAGTTCCATGTGGAAAAAAAAAGTTCATGTGATTAGTGGATTCGTCAATTGTTCTTCCTTTACTTTTTTTTTTTTTTTCTGAGATGGAGTCTTGCTGTGTTTCCCAGGCTAGATAGAGTACAGTGGCCTGATCTTAGCTCACTGCAATCTCTGCCTCCTGGGTTCAAGAGATTCTCCTGCCTCAGCATCCCAAGTAGCTGGGATTACAGGCATGCACCACCATGCCCAGCTAATTTTTGTACTTTTAGTAGAGATGGGGTTTCACCATGTTGACCAGGCTGGTCTTGAGCTCCTGACCTCAGGTGATCCACCTGCCTCAGTCTCCCAAAGTGCTTGGATTACAGGCATGAGCCACCACGCTAGGCCAGATCTGTCAGTTTCTTTTAGTAATTCTATTTTTGTGTTATACATTTGAATCTACATGATTAAATGTGTTCAATAAAAATTACAGGACAGCCATTGTTTTGGACAAAGTTTCTGCTCTTAGACCCAATGGACAAGACTAAAAATCAAAATGGGACTCACCCATGCCAAAGTTCCGAATTACTAAACCCAAACTAAGTTGACTGACCCTTCCCAAAATCACAAATAATTTCCCAAACAGGCCAGTGTAAATCCTCACTAGGCATGATAATGAACTTCCCTCTGCTTTAATCCTTACAGGAAAAAAGTAGCTTGATGTTTACTAATCAGTTGTTTTTCTATTGTTCTTTCTCTCTGTCCCTGCCTTATAAGAAACATAGCACTTTGGGAGCCCGAGGTGAGCAGATCACTAGGTCAGGAGTTCGCAACCAGCCTTGCCAACTTGGTGAAATCCCATCTCTACTAAAAATATAAAAGTTAGCGGGGCATGGTGGTGTGCTCCTATAATCCCAGCTACTCGGGAGGCTGAGGCAGGAGAACTGCTTGTACCCGGGAGGCAGAGGCTGCAGTGAGCCAAGATTGAGCCACCGCACTCCAGCCTGAGTGACAGAGTGAGATTCTGTCTCAAAAAAAAACAGAAAAGAAAAGAAACATAGCTTTGAAATGACTAATATGCTCTTTGTTCTTTGCTTCTGCTTTCTTTCTTTGTTCTTTTGAGACAGGGTCTTGCTCTTTCTTTAGCACTTCTCTGTCTATAACAGAAGCCAACCTCTTCTGCTGCCCAGTTCTAGAACTGCCAAAAAGTTAATTAACTAGGACTGGGGTGAGGGGAAGAAAACTAGAAGACTTTAAAAATAATTTTATTTATGATATAATAATACTGTATACCTGACAGTGATTCAGCCGGAACAGAGCTGAGAACCTAGGGAATAAGAGGCATTTAAGTCACCAAACAAGGAATTGCACTTTATTCATTGTTGGAAAGCTTCTTCCTCGGTATACTTGCTCTTGTTTTAGAAAAACTTTGGCTCTTTGGCAGTCTTGTCCTCACCAAATTAGAAATTGCCTATTAGAAGAGAATGTTCTCAGAGGACGGCATATGAAGGTCAGAAAAAGCGTTAATTAACAGCTAGGAACAGGACAATATGTATTTGTTAAAAACAAAAAAAGATACAGAAATGCAAAACACACAGCAGTTTGGAGTGATTCTTTGAAGAGACAAACTATCCAATAATTTCCCAAAGGAATTAGAACCGCCTTCGGAAAATCATAACTGAGAAAAGAGTGACAGTGAAAGAAATCAGACCTAACTGACTCTGTCTTGCTTCTAATCTTTAGGCTGTCCTTGTTCAT